TTCACCGTGAAGCAAGCATCTGACAAATCTGGCTCTAGAACCGAAAATGTCCGAAACTAAATTTTACATATTTTATCTGCTGGCACCAACTTCGTGGCAATCTGTAATCGCGGACTGTTGGAGATGCGTTATGTGGGCGTTGGTTTACTGGCTTTTTGTGCATTTTCCATCTTTTACCCATGGGGACTTCTGTTTTTTTCGTAATTTGGTCCAATCGGGTTTTGAGCTTTTTTGAAGTTGGTGATTGTGTGTGTTTTTTCCGAAAAGGGGTTAGGTGGTTTGCTGTGTGTCGTGTTTCGGTGGCAATGGGTATTGTTGGTGGTAGTGTTGTGGTGCAAGCGGTTGGTTTAGTGCGACACCTGGCGGTGTGGATTTGTGTCGTTTTACGTGTTTGTACGTTTCCGTACCGGAGAGTTTTGTAGTTTTGTGTGATTGTTCTTTTTAGAGTGTGGGTAGTTGTATACTACAACTGGGGTGCGGATTGATGTACGGAGGTTTTGGTGATGTTGTGTCAAGCATGCTTTGCTTCCTTTGTTTGTGGTATCAGGTATGTTTTGGTGCGTACTCTATCGTTTGTTTTCGAGTTAGCGGTTTGTTTGTTGATGTTTGGAAGTTCTTTTCCGACTAAGTCTTTCTGCAGTTCGGAACGAAGGAAGAACTGCCGAAAGGGTTGGCGATGACTTGTTGGTTGATGTTGATTAGAATGTTTAGTGTTGACGCGTATCTCGCCGTGTGCTAGCTTGCGCGTTTAGGGGATATTCGCGCACCGAATTTCGCGCACCGAATTTCGCGCACCGAATTTCGCGCACCGTACATGTCGGGTTCGTTAGCACCAGAATCTTTCAGTCAAGGGTTAGTGAATCGGAGATGAGCGTTACTTGTATTTTCAATTTTTTGACCTAGAGATTTTCGCTAAAAAGTTAAGAGCTATGCCATTTTATGAAAAATTCAATTCTCTACAAAATCGCGTATTTACTATTGACTTGTGTTGCTTCCTAGAGAAGTTGGTTTTTAGAAAAAACAGTTTTTGAAGCCGATTTTTCTCCAACTCACAACAGTTTAAAAACGTTTTTCGATAGTGTATCGGAAAGAGCGAATTGAGTCCTACCTACTACTATTAGAAATGTTTTTCCCTCGACACTTTCGTAATGGGATTTAACCTTCTTATTTCAAAGGTCCAAAATTGGAATTTTTTGGAAGTTGTAGAACTCGGTAATGTCCGTACCTGGTAAAAGTTTTGTTGCGTTTAAATGATGCTGAAATGAGTTATACCTTTTAAAAGTTCTAAAAAAAGGAAGCTCATAACATTAGGCCATGCGGTAGACTAGAACGAAATTGCGTAATTTTCTAAGAAATTGCTCAGTTCTCGATTGACAAATTTCAAAACGTATTTGATAATATCCTGAACATTCTGATTATTTCTTGCTCTAGAAAAAAGGCTCTTAAATGCTTTTCCTTTCAAGTACGCCGACCCAAATTATTTATATGTTTAATTTCCGTTTAACAGCTAAAAAGGTTGAAAGGGAACTGAACGAAAAGTTCAAGAATATTTATGCATATGTAATTTAACGTGCTTTGTCTAATGATCCTAAAACTAGAACTTAGAATTTGGTAGTTAAATCGAAAAACGAGTTTTTGTCTTAATTAAATTTTTGTAAAAACTCGTTTATTCCGGATTGTGCGTGTTTCCGAAATGTCAAACATTCAAATTCGGATAGAGCTTAAAATATGACGTATACTGGTAGATTATCAGTATGTGATTGAGAGACAACTTTTCCCCCTGAAGTCGACTAAATGTTCTTATATCAATCACACGGTAGAAAAATAAGAACGTGTTTTATCATATGGGAAGAGAGAAAAGAGAAGGAAAAAATATATTTTCTCTTCTTCACAGCGTAACACAAACTTATATATGCAGAACGGAAAAAGTGAAAAACTTAATTTTTAAATGTTCAGAAGCATTTTTATGCAAAACCAATGTGATATTCGGAATCTACGAAAAACATTCCATCGAACGATATATAATTCGATGTGTTTCGAGAAAAAATGTTTTCGTCCAAAATTTTAGGCAAAACATCTGAGGCACCTCAGTGAAACCTCAGCAAGCACTCAGTGAAGCACCTCACGAGGGAACCTCTCGAGGTGTTCAATCCCTCTTTAATAGGAGGATAATATTGAATAAAACGATTGTTTTTTAGATGATTTACTGGCACCTGTTAAATTCATTCGAGCTGCCATTTGATAAACAAATAGTAAGAAGAAATGTGTGGGTATATCGTGCAAATATTCCGACATTTTACTATTTATACCGCCGCCGCCGTTATCAATATTTTTAACCCATAATGAATAACATTTTGACGCAATCATTATTTCTGGTGCAGAATTTGTTAATACTGTTGCTGTTGTTGCTGATTGACTGGTCTGATTACTAAAATTATTGTAAAGAAACAAAATTAGATTCATTGTCAAAATTGTGGTTGATCCATGTTGATAATGATTTTGATCGAAATGATGAAATATTATTAACAAGAACAGCTGCGTTAGTAACACCTGTTCAAGAAAATAATGAAAATATATTATTGAAACGAACGTTACTGTCTAATTTAGTCTCGTTGCTATGTCAAAATGCATTAGATTCTCAAAAATTACAGGTAAGATTCATCATCATGACATTTTGACTATCTATTATTCAATTTTCTGTTTTAGTTATGTGAACGTTAGATAAATGATTTTTCAACTTTATTTGGTAATGAAGGTGATCATTCAATTCTCTATTTACGTGGTAAAGTGTTGTGTTTACGAAAAATGGAAACATCCGGTGAATATTTGAGACAATTAATTCAACATCTATCATTATCTGTTAATTCTTCATCTATCAATATTCTACGTGTTAAATGTCAACTATTACTATGCGATTGGTTATTAGAAACATGTTGTGATACGCCTCTGTCAATTCGTTTACAATTACAACAAATTATAAACGATGGTGAAAATAAACAAGGTTCATCTGGTGAATATGCACAAGTGAATTTTCAATCGTATCCTACAATGGCTCTTTTTAGGTAAATAATAGTGATCTATTCTTTTTTTTTTCAAAAGTCATTTTTTTATTTATCTCATTATCTCATTAAAGTGATCAAGAATATGAACGTATTGATTCATTAATTAAATCGGCCGCTTATGAAGGTAAACGAAATTTATTACATCAGAGTGAATTAGAATATGAAAAGCAAATAAAATTGAACAAGGCGGAAAATATGCTCGTGAAAACTCAGTACAGTCAACTGACAAAAACTGTTTGAAAATAAGTGCACATATAGATGCTCATACAAATATTTACAATGGCACTTAAAAGTACATATTTTCCTTATGTTTAGCTATGATATTGAGAGCCGTTTATCTCAGAAAGTAAAACGTATCTTTTTCCAAAATATAGTTGGATACAGAGTACTTCAAACTGCCAGAAAAACTGGAGAGAGGTATTTTCAAATTTCTTAACTTTATAATCTGGGAACCGGCTTTTCTCAACTAAATGCTGATCTTTTTCGTAAAAATTTATTCAACACAAACTTATGCAAATGTGGAAAAGTTGAGACTAGAGACTTAACCGACTAGTCAAGCTAGTTCTTGGCATCAAATACATTAACCACAAGGAGATTATCAGCTAGATTAACCGCCCACTTAACCGACCGATCGAGCTAGCTCTATTTGATCTAGCTCCAACCGTCCGCCGACATCAAATACATTAGATACAAGGATACATTTAGGCACTCAATGCCTTTTTTTACTATTCATTTTCTACAGAAAAGAGAAATCCGACTCTTTTCCATATTATCCGGGTTTATTCTCAGTTATTATCTTGAACACAAAACTTTACGCACAACTAGTGATTTACCGTTCAATATTAGCTAGATGATTGACTCATGCAATATTTGAACACTTTTAGGCTGGTATCAATTCGACGGGAGATGATGAAAAACAAAAACAGGGTAAAAGAACGAATCCATCAAATAATGATGACAAAGATTATCAGATAGCATCAGATTGTGTGGATAGCGGAAGAAAATTACAAAAGATTGATGAGCAGAAAGAAAATAAAAATAGCATGGTTTTTCGTTCGTTTTGGGTCTTACCTATAAACTTCAATTCAGCAAATGTCTACTGTAATTGTTTATTTTTAAGTGATGCTCGAGAGAGGACACTAGTGAAAGCGGTTTTAAGCGCTATTTGTGGAAGTTTGATAATACGCTACTTGAGATTTTCAAGAGAGCGTGAATAATGTCAGTTATTTCAGTTTACCTTTTCTTGAAATAACTGTGATTGTCCTCCTGATAACGAAAATCTGTTTGATAAAAGCCTTTATTTGATATGTTTCTATATTTAACGCTGCTACACTAAAATACTTTTGCTCTCTTTTTTAATTTCTTTTTAGCAACAGACGATTTTGTACGAGATGAGTGTCATATAGTGTCACACACATTCGATAATCAATATGAACAAATGTCACAAGAAACACCGTAAGCTCCTATGACCCATGCTGAGCAATTTTCAGTATTTTTTCCTTTTTCTGAACTGATACAAAGGATAAAGTTCAGCCTTTGTATTTCTCCTTACACCGATATGAGAAGGACGCAGCCTGAAATGGTTTTCCTTGCTTAAAATAAACTACTTCTAGCCGAAGTATATTTTTTCAGCTGTATATTTAATAAAATAGTTCTTTCAGGCCATCAATGGAATCAAATGAAAACATTACTCCCCCAAACACCATCTCTTCATCTCAAGCAGTAACGTCAAACAACAACATGTCAACGTTCATTCAATACACATTGCTGAAGTTGAACAGTTTATATGCAATTTATTCGATTATTTAATCGATTACAAAGAAAAATTCTCGAAAAATTTGCCTGTTCACGATAGTATGTACCATCGAGAAACTTAAAACCGACATCAAAGCCAAAATACCAATGATCGATGATTACATACTTTTCATCCCTTTCAATGCCTATCCTGCGATAGCTCAACACAAACATAGCAATGTGCATTGCTTCAAACGATATTTTACGTCTTTTATTTTAAAGTTTCGCAGTTCATTTTTGTAGCGCACATACCTTTGTTGAAACATAACTGCTATCATTTTTACGTCAATATAATAAAAATAAAACCTGGAGATGCACACAGCACGAAAGCCTTCACAGACCAGAGAAGTCAAACAGCTCGAAGTGGATGAAACCCCAAAAGCGATGAAAAGTACAAAAATATGAAAGTATGAAAGGCATGATAAGGCATATTTTTTGTGTATTCTAACAGCTCTGGCCATATTAAGCACTGGCCGTCACCGGACCACATGTATATATCAATTCAAATTATATTTGTATTGAAGCATTGGAGGATAAATATCCCGTCAAACAATCATCTGATTGGTTCAAATTCTTCATTGTGCTTACTCATGAATTTATTCATGTTTTTCGTCGTCCTCATATTCGTGAAACTCAAAATTTATTCACTTCTATCACTCTGTCAAGACCAAAATCTTTTCATCTAAGAAAGTAAGTACTGATATTTCATGCCCGTAAATAGCTTAAGTACTAAAAATATTGATAATACGATTGCGTGGTACTTCAACTACATGAGTCGGCTTAGAATATTATATGTTTGCAAACTATCTTGGATACTGATGCGATTGAACTCGATTCTTCTGTACTGTGAAAGATGGATCCTGTAAAAATTGGTACACGTCCAAACTTTTTAAAAATATATTTAAATGAGGGTAGGCATACGCCGGTTTCGGTTAACCGAAACCGATCATAACCGAAACCGATCATAACCGAAACCGATCATAATAGAAACTAATCAAGACGGTCTTGCTTGACAAGGCCGGCTTTGTAAAAACTAAATTTTATTTTCTTGGTATTTTTTTCAGCCAAATGAAGAAGGAAAATTAAATAGTTTAACAAGGAATTCAGTCGGTTTAGATATATGCGTAAGAAAGCATAGAAAAGAAAGGAAAAGAAAAGAGTAGAAAAGAACAAAAGATGAACAACATGAAGTATATTGTGATCAGCTGAATATTTGAATATTTTAGTTGACAGCAAATGCTATTTTGTTTTGGAAAACTTATGGAGATCAAATGCCAATTCTCAAACAAATGGCTAAACAGTACTTGGCGACCAGTGGTACAAGCGTAGCATCTGAATCTGCATTCAGTGTTTCAGCTTATGTTGGACGCAAAGAACGAGCAGGAATGGATGCGAAAAATTTAGCTTATATAGTTTTTTTGAAAGATAAAATGAAATGAAAACAATTATGTACATTATATGTGAAGTTATATGAACTATAATATTAATACTTGTCTTCTCGCTTTCATTTACGTATGTGCAGCACATATTTTTGCCTCGTTTGTGTTCATTTCATAATATTCTAGAGGATGAAAAGTAATGTTAGGTGTTGAATTGTTAATGATGCGGAAGGACACGACATGAATGATGAAAACGTCATTATGCTACAATTAACCTGAGTTATATGACCTCTTCCAAAAGCAACGTTGAGACTACGTCTTCTTCACCCGCTTCTATTCATTATGATCGGTTTCGGTTATGACCGGTTGCAGTTATTCGGTTAAAAACCGAAACCGGTGCATGCCTAAATGAGAGTAGCAACCCTGAAACATTTATCCGGGTTTATTCTCAGTTATTACCTTGGACACAAAACTTTACGCACAATCAGTGACTCATCTCTATTGAATTTCATTTCATTTCATCCCAAGTGTTTACGTACTCAAAGCAGGGGTGCTTAATGTTGCGTTGAGTTATGATTTCTAACTTCACCACTACTTTAGTATAGCATCAATGGCCCACTACTTTTAGTACTATTATAGTTTTGAACATTGAAATAAACTATCATACCTGTTCCTGTTCTTTATTGTGACTATCTTGATGACTATGCTACAGTTCATTAAGTACGCTAAAGAAACCCACAGTAAAGAGTAAAGTTAGAAAAGGAGAAGAGTTACGCTTTTTCACTATGCTGTAATATGTCTCGTAAGCCAAGATGTTTGTATTTACTCATTTTTTTATATAATAATCATTCAATTTTTCTAGT